TCTGTAACTTGCAGGCAAGAATACTGTGGGAGACAGTGTCAAAAGCTTTGCTAAAGTCAAGGAATAACACGTTCACTGCTTTCCCTTCATCCACAGAGCCAGTTATCTCATCATAGAAGGCAATTAGATTAGTCAAGCTTGACTTGCCCTTGGTGAATCCATGCTGACTGTTCCTGATCACTTTCCTCTCCTCTCCTCTCCTCTCCTCTCCTCTCCTCTCCTCTAAGAGCTTCAGAATTGATTCCTTGAGGACCTGCTGCATGATTTTTCCAGGGACTGAGATGAGGCTGACTGGCCTGTAGTTGCCAGGATCCTCCTCCTTCCCTTTTTTAAAGATGGGCACTACAGTAGCCTTTTTCCAGTCGTCCGGGACTTCCCCCGATCGCCATGAGTTTTCAAAGATAATGGCCAGTGGCTCTGCAATCACATCCGCCAACTCCTTTAGCACTCTCGGATGCAGCGCATTCGGCCCCATGCATTTGTGCTCGTCCAGCTTTTCTAAATAGTCCCGAACCACTTCTTCGTTCACAGAGGGCTGGTCACCTCCTCCCCATTCTGTGCTGCCCAGTGCAGTAGTCTGGGAGCTGACCTTGTTTGTGAAGACAGAGGCAAAAAAAGCATTGAGTACATTAGCTTTTTCCACATCCTCTGTCACTAGGTTGCTCCCCTCATTCAGTAAGGGGCCCACGCTTTCCTTGACTTTCTTCTTGTTGCTAACATACCTGAAGAAACCCTTCTTGTTACTCTTAACATCTCTTGCTAGCTGCAACTCCAGGTGTGGTTTGGCCTTCCTGATTTCACTCTTACATCCCCAAGCAATATTTTTGTACTCTTCCCTGGTCATTTGTCCAGCCTTCCACTTGTAAGCTTCTTTTTTGTGTTTAAGATCAGCAAGGATTTCACTGTTAAGCCAAGCTGGTCGGCTGCCATATTTACTATTCTTTCTACACATTGGGATGGTTTGTCCCTGTAACCTCAATAAGGATTCTTTACAATACAGCCAGCTCTCCTGGACTCCTTTCCCCCCCATTTTATTCTCCCAGGGGATCCTGCCCATCAGTTCCTTGAGGGAGTCAGTCTGCTTTTCTGAAGTCCAGGGTCTGTATTCTGCTGCTCTCCTTTCTTCCCTGTGTCAGGATCCTGAACTCTACCATCTCATGGTCACTGCCTCCCAGGTTCCCATCCACTTTTGCTTCCCCTACTAATTCTTCCCGGTTTGTGAGCAGCAGGTCATGAAGAGCTCTGCCCCTAGTTGGTTCCTCCAGCACTTGCACCAGGAAATTGTCCCCTACGGTTTCCAAAAACTTCCTGGATTGTCTGTGCACCGCTATATTGCTCTCCCAACAGATATCAGGGTGATTGAAGTCTCCCATGAGAACCAGGGCGTGCGATCTAGTAACTTCCATGAGTTGCTGGAAGAAAGCCTCGTCCACTTCATCCCCCTGGTCCGGTGGTCTATAGCAGACTCCCACCACGACATCACCCTTGTTGCTCACGCTTCTAAACTTAATCCAGAGACTCTCAGGTTTTTCTGCAGTTTCATACCAGAGCTCTGAGCAGTCATACTGCTCCCTTACATACAGTGCAACTCCCCCACTTTTTCTGCCCTGCCTGTCCTTCCTGAACAGTTTATACCCATCCATGACAGTACTCCAGTCATGTGAGTTATTCCACCAAGTCTCTGTTGTTCTAATCACATCATAATTCCTTGACTGTGGCAGGACTTCCAGTTCTCCCTGCTTGTTTCCCAGGCTTCTTGCATTTGTGTATAGGCACTTGAGATAACTCGCTGATCGTCCCTCTTTCTCAGTATGAGGCAGGAGCCCTGCCTTCTCGCACTCTCCTGCTTGTGCTTCCTCTCGGTATCCCACTTCCCCACTTACCTCAGGGCTTTGGTCTCCTTCCCCCGGTGAACCTAGTTTAAAACCGTCCTCACTAGGTTAGCCAGCCTGCTTGCGAAGATGCTCTTCCTTCTCTTTGTTAGGTGGAGCCCGTCTCTGCCTAGCACTCCTCCTTCTTCGAACACCATCCCATGGTCAGAGAATCCAAAGCCGCCTCTCCGACACCACCTGCGTAGCCATTCGTTGACTTCCACGATTCGACGGTCTCTACACAGGCCTTTTCCTTCCACGGGGAGGATGGACGAGAAGACCACTTGCGCCTCAAACTCCTTTATCCTTCTTCCCAGAGCCACGTAGTCCGCAGTGATCCACTCAAGGTCATTCTTGGCAGTATCATTGGTGCCCACGTGGAGAAGCAGGAAGGGGTAACGATCTGAGGGCTTGATGAGTCTCGGCAGTCTCTCCGTCACATCGCGAATCTTAGCTCCTGGCAAGTAGCAGACTTCTCGGTTTTCCCGGTCAGGGCGGCAGATAAATGACTCAGTCCCCCTGAGGAGAGAGTACCCGACCACCACCACCCGCCTCCTTCTCTTGGGAGTGGTGGTCGTGGAACCCCTATCCCTAGAACAGAGCATCTCATGCCTTCCAATCGGTGGAGTCTCCTTCTGCTCCCTTCCCTCAGACGTATCATCTAGTCAACTCTCCGCATTAGTACCTGTGGAGAGAACATGAAAACGGTTGTTTACCTGTATCTGCGTTGCTGGTACATGGACGCTCCCCTTTCTTCTTCTGGAGGTCACATGCTGCCAAATTTCTTCACCGTCCTCCTGTCCCCACTGCGCAGCCTGCTCTGAATCTTCAGAACATTGTGCCCCTAGAAGCATATCCTGATGTCTGTCCAGGAAATCTTCAGTTTCTCTTGTGCAACGCAGGGTCGATACCTGTTGCTCCAGACCTTGAACTTTCTCTTCCACTATGGAGACCAGCTTGCACTTTGTACAGACAAAGTCGCTTCTGTCCTGTGGAAGAAAGACAAACATGGCACATCCAGTGCAGGTCACAACAGCTGAACACCCCCCATCCATATTACCTTCCTTCTACGAGCTCACTCGGGAGTTGTAGTAACTACTCAGAGACTTAGGCAAGATGTAAGCCTCAGCAGGCTCTCCCCAGGCGAACTCCCAGGCAAACTCCCTCTGTTAGCCGCTCTGCTGTTCACTGCTCAGCTGGTTTGCAGCTGACTGGCTCTTATACAGTCAGGTCCACTCAAGGCTCACCTGGAACAAAGCACTCCCTGTTCACACTTTTCAAATCACTCTCGTCACTGTGCTGCAGTTGCCACCTCCTCGCCTGATTTCGCTTTTCTTGCAGGTTATGGTTCTGCATATCCTGCTGGATAACGCGCGCGGTGTTTATAGTGCTCATAATTGCCGCGGTGATCTGAGCGGGCTCCATGTTCCCAGTGCTATGGCGTCCGCGCTGAAAAAAGGCGCGAAACGATTGTCTGCTGTTGCTCTGAGGGAGGGAGGGGTGACCGACAACTTGGCTTACAGGGAATTAAAATCAACAAAGGGGGTAGCTTTGCATCAGTGAAACAGAATGGCCCCCTCAAGAATAGAACTCAAAACTCTGGGTTTAGCAGGCCGTTGATTTCACAGAGGGAGGGAGGAGAAAATGAATACAAAACAAATCTGGTCTATTTCTTGTTTTGAGCCACTTCATTTATCTTTATACATCTTGCTGGCAGCAGATGGTGAAGTACGACTGCTGGCCATAGTCGTCTCCTGGCTGCTCAACAGAAGACGGTGCAGTAGGACTGCCGGCAGGAATGAATTGCCATGAGACGAAATTTAAAAGGGAAATGACCTGGCTGAGTCACTCCCATGTTTGCCCAGGTGCCCCGACCGACCTCACCGAGGTTGGCTAAAAGAGCACCCTGGAGTACGGCGACAATGGCTACCAGTCATACTGCACTGTCTGCTGCCAAAAGGCAATGAGCTGCTGCGGTGTAGTAATGCAGTACCGGGTCTGCCAGCACCCAGGAGACATACGGTGACGGTGAGCTGAGCAGGCTCCATGCTTGCTGTGGTATGGTGTCTGCACAGGTAACCCAGGAAAAAAGGCGTGAAGTGATTGTCTGCTGTTGCTTTCACGGAGGGAGGGAGCGAAGGAGGGAAGGGGGGGGCCTGACGATATGTACCCTGAACCACCCGCGACAATGTTTTGCCCCATCAGGCATTGGGATTTCTCCCCAGAATTCCAATGGACAGCGGAGACTGCGGGAACTGTGGAATAGCTACCTACAGTGCAACACTCCGGAAGTCAACGGTTGCCCCGTTACTGTGGACGCACTCTGCCGACTAAATGCACTTAGAGCATTTGTGTGGGGACACACACAATCAACTGTATAACGACGCTTTCTACGAAACCGACTTCTATAAATTTGACCTAATTTCGTAGTGTAGACATAGCCTTAGATTTCCAAGAGGCTCAGTCTGTCTCTGTTTATATTGGGCTTTTGGATGACCAGCTTTTCTCATAAAGCATGAGAATCCAATGCAATTGCCCACTTTTCTGACAAACACTGGATTAAAATGGAATAAATTCTATTCTTCCCCAATAATGAAACTTGCACTGGGAGTGGAAAGTGGGGAGGTTTGCGGTAATTCTTAGCTGCTGTGCAGGTTTGTTCCATAGTCTCTACAATCCACAGTGGCTCAAGGAGGAGTGCAGGGATAGAGCTGGTGATGAGCTATGAGGCATCAACTCTACCCAGAACTGTTTTGTACTGTAGTGTCAGGTTTGTGTCTGTTTCATTCTGGTTGGTCCCCTTACGAAACCCACACAGACTCCCTTTATTTGACCTTGGGTTGTGTCTAAGCCCTGAATCTGGATATGCCCCAGGACATGTTCACTATTTTTTGCGGGGTTGAGGAGGGAAAGGGAGATCTGTTAGAATTTTTTTTTTTTTTTAAATTTGCTGTTGGCCAGAAAAGGGAGGAACTGCATTGGAAACTGAGACCTTCACTGCTTTATAATAATAATAATAATAATTAATAATTTAATTTAATGTTAAGAAAGCTTGTAATTCAAAAGCCCGGCATGAACAGAAGCTGACTGAGCCTCTGAATTCTGTTCATTTTGTTTTTTCTTTTGTAGGATTTTGCGTTTTAAGAAGGAGTCTCCAACTCTGCAACCAAAGGAGCCGCCTCCCTCCCTGCTGGAAGCAGATCTAACTGAATTTGATGTGAAGAATTCCCACTTGCCATCAGAAGTCCTGTACATGCTTAAAAATGTCAGGTAAGGTTGAAGTGAAAGATTGAGGCTTGGTCTTGATATGTGCTAAACTGGTGTAAATCAGCAGTAACTCCAGAGAAGTCACCAAGCTTTACGAGTGTGAAATCAGAATGAGGCCTTTTAATAAATTTAAGTATGTGGCGTAAGGCTTTTCAGATGGGGAAAAAATAATACTGATTTGCAGTTGCCAAGAAGCATTAGGTAAGGAAAGGAAGAGGGTGGTCCAATGGACTAGGTTTGGGAGTAAAAATGCTGAGCTCTGCTAGGTGGAATAGATTTCTGTTAATGCTCTTTCTGTGCCCTTTGAAACTCTTTTTGGACTTTTTTTCTACATTGCTATGGAAATGTGTAACAAAGGGCAGTTGGACCATTTTGGTGTGTTCCGTGTCAGACTGACAGCTCTGCAGACTTGCCACGAGCAGCAGCACAAACGTACGCACCTTGCTCTGAGAGGGACCGGCTTGAGGGGAGGAGGAGAGTTCACTCTTCATGTTCACTCAGTCTGGCATCTGCATCTCTTTGCTGAGACAGTTAAAGGAGCCAGTTGCCTCCAATTATTTTGCTTGTTATATTTTTTGAGAGGTAATGATAGAAGGTTAGGGTTGGAAGAGAGCTCAGGAGGTCATCTAGTCCAACCCTCTGCTCAAAGCAGGACCGATCCCCAACTAAATCATCCCAGCCAGGGCTTTGTCAAGCCGGGCCTTAAAAACCTTTAAGGATTGAAATTCCACCACCTCCCTAGGTAACCCATTCCAGTGCTTCACCACCCTCCTAGTGAAAAAGTTTTTCCTAATATCCTAGACCTCCCCCACTGCAACTTGAGACCATTACTCCTTGTTCTGTCATCTGGTACTACTGAGAACAGTGGACTTCAGTCCATTAACAGCTAACCTGAGCTAATCCTTTCACTTTATGTAAGTGACTAAACAACCTATGCATCTTTTGTCTCCTCTCTGTAGGTTTGTGGATGTTTTCATGATTTAAAAAACTTTTCCACCATGCCCTTGAAGACTAAATTATAGCAGAGTCTCTGCCTTCCTTGGCCATCTAATAGAGTTACTGTTAGTCACCTAGGCTTTTATCTATGGACTGATGGCACAATTAGTATGTATTATTCTTGACACATTTTATGGGTCAGTTAAATTCCACTGAAACATGAATTTGTCACGGGAGAATTTTTTTTTTTTTAAATCTAAATTTAGGGAGATGCCTAGAGAGCCCTTTTCAGTGCTGTGTACTGACAGGAAATGAGGGTAGAGACTGGTGTTTCTGCTTTTGCCTGTGTGATCTTGGTTGTGATGAGAGCCTGCTTGCATGTTCCCTGAAAGGGGTGCTTATCCCAAACTCCCAAATACTCCTGAGAAACTGGCATTTTCCTCCCCCTCTATTCTGACATTTTTCTGGTGAGTTCGCTGTTCTAGTTACATTAGTGAACAGAGAAGTTTTCCGGGTGATTTTCTTCTTCAAGTGTGTGGCTATGTTCCAGGCTTCTAGGGTCACCCAATGAAATTAATAGGCAGCAGGTTTAAAAGAAACAAAAGGAAGTACTTCTTCACACAATGCACAGCCAACCTGTGGAACTCCATGCCAGAGGCTGTTGTGAAGGCCAAGACTGTAACAGGGTTTAAAAAAAGAACTAGATATATTCATGGAGGATAGGCCCCTCAGTGGCTATTAGGCAAGGATGAAAAACAATGATCTGAAGTGTCCCGAGTCTCTGTTTGCTGGAAGCTGGGAATGGGCAACAGGGGATGGATCACTTGATGACTACCTCTTCTGTTCATTCCCTCTGAGGCATCTGGGATTGGTCACTGTCGGAAGACAGGATACTGGGCTAGATGGACCATTGGTATGACCCAGTATGACCCTTCTGATGATCTTCTCCACATTCCCACCTTCGAAGGCCACACATCAACTTTTGGCTGAGGAGGGCAGGTTGTGGATGCCTTTTAGCCCATCAGCATCACTCAAAGTGCTGACCAGAGGGCCTTGCTGGAAAGCAATCCCAAATCTTTTCATCCCTGCAAGGATCACACAGTGCTCCTGCTCTTCTGGCTCAGAGAGTTCTGTCCTTCATGTGGCTGCATATGGCATGGGACTTCCAGGTTCCCTCATGGATTCCCACAGTATTGGTACCATGAGGCTTTGCTAGTTTAGGGAGGGCTCTCATGCACCACGGCATCTGCAGGTTTCCTTTTGCAGCAGAGACGGTGTCACTGATCCTTTTCTTTCCTGCAGGGTTCTTGGCCATTTTGAGAAGCCTCTCTTCCTGGAGCTGTGCAAGCACATGTTCTTTGTGCAACTGCATGAAGGCGAATACATCTTCCGTCCTGGGCAGCTGGATAACAGCATCTATGTCGTGCAGGATGGCAAGCTAGATGTTTGCGTTCAAGAAAGTGTAAGAATAAGCCCAGCCACTGACTCCTTTTTTCATAAATCTCTTATTAGAATGGCATATGGCTAGAGATCAACATCTCTGTCATGTGATGACTTGGAACAGGCTGTGTTCGCCCCTGTAAGGCGAGTGTTAAACTTTCTGGCAGACTGTGACTCATTAGGCCAGTGGTTCTCAATAAGGAGTACATGTAGCCCTGGGGATACTCAGAGGTCTTCCAGGGGATACATGAACTCATCTAGATATTTGCCTAGTTTTACAACAGGCTACATAAAAAGCAGTAACGAAGTCAGTATGAACTAAAATTTCATACAGACAATCACTTGTTTATACTGCTTTATAGACTATACACTGAAATGTATAGTAAGCAATTTTCAGTAATAGTGGGCTGTGACACTTTTGTATTTTTATGTCTGATCTTGCAACCAAGTAGTTTTTAAGTGAGGTGTAACTTGGGGATATGGAAGACAAATCAGACTCATAAAAAGGGCCATACTGGGTCAGACCAAAGGTCCATCTGGCCCAGTATCCCATCTTCCAACAGTAACCAATGCCAGGTGCCCTAGGGGGAATGAACAGAACAGGTAATCATCAAGTGATCCATCCCCTGTCGCCCATTCCCAGCTTCTGGCAAACAGGCTAGGGACAACATCCCTGCCCATCCTGGCTAATAGTCAATGACCATCCTGGCTAATAGCAATACTCCTGAAAGGGGTACAGTAATCTGGAAAGATTGAGAGCCAGTGCATTAGGCAACATGGTCATCAACAACGAGGAGTCTGGTGGCACTTTAAAGACTAACAGATTTATTTGGTCATAAGCTTTCGTGGATAAAAAAACCCCACATCTTCAGATGCATGGAGTAAAAATTGCAGATACAGGATGGTGTTTTCAGGAAGATCACCGATGCATTGTAGTTTCCTCAGGAAGTCGGTGGTGTCTCGAAGATAGGTAAGTACTTGGCACCATGCAAGGCACTGAATTTAGCCGTATGAAGTGGAAATCCATCAACTTAATGAAAAAACTCACACAGATACAGACAGACCTCCTCTTCCCCTCCAAGTGCAAACAGATGGACATCATACCAAATGGACTGAAGGTAAAAAATCCATTGCAATTGACATACTACACTGACTAACACACACTCTCAAAGAAACTGAGGAACCACCTGATCAGCATCCTGTACAGCAAACAGGAGATCAAGAATGAGCTCTCAAAACTGGAGACTCTCATATAAAACATCATTCTGGCCACCATGGATGTAGAAGCTCTTTACACCAACATTCCACATGTGGGAGGACTACAAGCTGTCAGGAACAGTATCCCTGATGAGGCCACGGCACACCTCATGACTGAGCTTTGTGACTTTGTCCTCACCCACAACCATTTCAGATTTGGGGAAAACCTATACCTTCAAGTCAGCGGCACTGCTATGGGTACCTGCATGGCTCCACAGTATGCCAACATTTTTATGGCTGACTTAGAACAATGCTTCCTCAGCTCTCGTCCCTGAGCACTTCTCTACTTGCGCTACATTGATGACATCTTCATCATATGGACCCACGGGAAGGAGGCCCTTGAAGAATTCCACCTGGATTTCAACAGTTTCCACCCCACCATCAACCTCAACCTGGACCAGTCAACACAAGAGATCCATTTTGTGGACACTACAGTGCAAGTAAGTGATGGTCACATAAACACCATCCTATACTGGAAACCTACTGACTGCTATACTTACCTACATGCCTCCAGCTTCTATGCAGGAAAGATTACATGATCCATTGTCTACAGCCAAGCCCTAAGATTTAACCCCATTTGCTCCAGTCCCTCAGACAGAGACAAACACCTACAAGATCTTTATCAAGCATTCTTAAAACTACAATACCCACCTGGGGAAATGAGGAAACAGAATTACAGAGTGAGATAGGTACTCAGAAGTCACCTACTACAGGAGAGGCCCAACAAGGAAAGTAACAGAACACCACTGGCCATCATGTACAGCTCTCAACTAAAGCCTCTCCAGCACATCATCAACGATCTGCAACCTGTCCTGGAAAACGACCCCCCACTCTCACAAGCCTTGGGAGGCAGGTCAGTTCTCGCTTACAGACAGCCCCCCAATCTGAAGCAAATACTCACCAGCAACTACACACCACATCACAAAAACATTAACCCAGGAACCCATCCCGTTGCCTGTTCTGTCCCCATATCTACTCTAGTGACACCATCATAGGACCCAACCACATCAGCCACACCATCAGGGGCTCATTCACCTGCACGTCTACTAATGTGATATATGCCATCATGTGCCAGCAATGCCCCTCTGCCATGTACATTGGCCAAACTGGACAGTCTCTACATAAAACAATAAATGGACAGAAATCAGACATCAGGAATGGTAACATACAAAAACCAGTAGGAGAACACTTCCATTTCCCTGGACATTCAAGAACAGATTTAAAAGTAGTTATACTTGAACAAAAATACTTCAAAGAGAAACTGCAGAGCTACAATTCATTTGCAAACTTAACACCATTAATTTGGGCTTGAATAGGGGCCTGGGAGTGGCTGGCTCACTACAAAAGCAATTTTCCTTCTCTTGGTATTGACACCTCCTCATCAATTATTGGGGGTGGACCACATCCATCCTGACTGAATTGGCCTGGTCAACACTGGTTCTCCACTTGTAAGGTAACTCCCTTCTCTTCATGTGCCAGTATATCTATGCCTGTATTTGTAATTTTCATTCCCTGCATCTGAGGAAGTGGGGTTTTTTACACACAAAAGCTTATGCTATAATAAATCTGTTAGTCTTTAAGGTGCCACCAGACTCCTCATTGTTTTTGTGGATACAGATTAACACGGCTACTGATACATGGTCATCAACAGTAATTTATTTTTCAATTCATAAAATGCACCTATTGGCATGTCAAAGTGTATGCACAAAAAATAAAATCCATGCGTTACAGCCTAGTGTGACACAATGTCATCTCAATCTCCAGTCTAAAAGAAGTTAATTATACTTTGTGTTGTTTGCCAGCCTTGTGACTTCCATGTCAGCATTTCTAGTGAGAGAGGTACTGTTAATGCTAATCTCTTACCCTTTAATTTGTTTTAACACATGAAGGGAATCAGACCTGTGAAGTAACAGCATTGAAACTAAAACAGGCTACCTTTACTGTGTAGCTGTTCTGTGTGTTGCAATGCTCAGCAACATCACAGCCTTTCAAAGGGGGAAGCAAAGTTTCTGCAAAATGAAGGAAAGAAGAGTTGATGGGATACAGGGAAAGCAGGGCTTTCACTTGCATCTCACCCCATGTAAATCTGAAATGAATTAAAGTAAATAGTGTTGGTGTTGGGTTCCAGTGCCACAGGTTACCTTTGCTTCTGTCACTCACAGTGAAAGTAGCGTTCAAAGCCTTCTCAGAATGGATCAGTACAATTCCAGGGGGCACAGGGAGAATCACCCTTGGGGTCTAGTTCTGCTGGGTGAATTCCACCGTTAGGTGGTGCTTAGGTTATCTTGCAATATTAGAATGCGAAAGTTGAACAGCCATGTTTCTGAAGCATGGGCCTGCCTGTATTGGCCCATTTAAACATGGTGATGGAATACGAGCCATTAATCTTCTCCTTCTGTCCATCTGTAGGATGGCACTGAAGTGGTCGTTAAAGAAGTGCTGGCAGGGGACAGTGTCCACAGCCTCCTCAGCATTCTTGATGTTATCACGGTAAGTTCCTATGCACGGGTGATTTTTCTGATACCTTGCCATATATCAGTGCGCCTGTCAGAGCTATGCAGCCTTGGCACATTAGTGTTACATTTGTCACCTTGATTCTTTCCTGGCATCTCTTTGGGTAGTGCTCCTCTAACCAATTAACAAGCCACATGCCATAATTGAAAAGCTCTCTGAGTGTACATTTGAATTGACTGTTTACGTGTGATTATTTCCTCACCTTTCAGCTGTTGGCCTTTGAACCCCTCCCTGGGTTTCTTTCTTCTAGTTCGTTTAAAGCAAACAGACTGAATTTTGTTTTTCTTTAAGATGTTTGGTTATGTTTCCAACACTTTAACTCTGGGAGAGGTAGCTACGTGACAGCCATTGAAACCAGGAAGACCCCCTCTCTCCCCTTCCCCTCCTCCGCCCCCCCCTCACCACTGCTGTAAATTTAGTTCCATGGTATATCAGTGACTAGGGAAAATGTATTTCCCTACATTGGGGGCTCAAATTAAGCCAAGTCTTATATTGCGAGTACCTAATTGGCATGGAGCAAATAGCAGCTACCTTTATTTTTAATTGGAAGGGGTGGCCTGTGCAGAAGACAAGTCCCACCGTGCAGTGCTCCATCTGTAGCTGAGCTGCTTTCTGTGCCGAGGAAGCTGAAGCATTGCATGCTGGAGCCTGTGATACCAGCAGGGTGAATGAATCCCACAGAGGCTGAAGAAGGTGGATGTGGGCCTGGGATCCTGTAGCCTGCAGGCTGCACTTTGACCACCCCATCCTCTCTTACACTTAGCATCATCAGCAGGACACCTGAATAAAACCCCACATCTAGCCATCTTAGGATGTGGGTGCTGTCTACAGTGTATGCATCCTGAAATACCTAGACAGAGCACACATAGTACCAATGATTGTACTGTGCCTGCATGACCTTGAGCAAATCACCCCATGCCTGCAACTAATGGTGGCAAAGCTAGGATTAGGATCCACAAGCTCCTGGCCTTAGATGGTGTGGCCTATTTAATTACTTAGTCAATTATTTTTATCTACTCTAATTAAAAATAAATCTTTCAGTTTATAACATAGCAATTATACTGTGAAACAAGATAATGACTTTCATCCTTCTTAATGTTGCTCATACTGCCAGTGACCATATATGGGTTGTACCCTCTAACTTGTTTTGCTTATCCGCTGATGGACTGGCTGATGAGATACTTTACGCTGATTGAAACAAAATGCATGCTACTAACTAGAATTCCAGGGGGGATTTTCTGGACTATTGTGTGTATTACTACTGCACCTATTTAGGACTTGGTAAATACAAGGTGGTGAATTTGCCTCTTCCAGTAGTGCACCGGCATGTGAGTATTCATTGGAGGGTGTTGGAAGCAGAGGTGGAAACAGAGTTCAGTCGTCAAGCTCTGCTATTAATGATACTTGACCTTGTACCCTGTCTCTCGTGTTTGGGAGTAGCTTTCTATTAAGAGAAGCCACAGACTCTAAGTGCTGGCGATCCTAACAATCCTGAAAGGTTTTCTGCTCACCACTTTTAGGCTGGGGAGTCCACAGTGCAATGCAGACATAAATATTTCTATTTCCATGGCTCCTACAATCAGCAGTATTCCATTATCTAGGCTTGGGCATGCTTCTCCTGTAAAGTGATGGCATGTCATTCAGGGCAAGCAGACAGGTTGATAAAAAGATTTATATTGTGTAAGTCTCAGTCCTGCTTTCAAATCCCCATTATTGGCTGACCTAGCAGTACCTCCATCTTGCTTACCTCCCTCCAAAACCTGTAATGAAAGCATTTTTCAAAGGGCGTGAACCACAGGGATGCCAGTTGTGTGGCACACCAGCCAACATGCTCTTGGCTAAATAGGAACAATGCTCCTCTAGAAGACTATGATCACTCTGAATGGCAACCACAATCAAATGACAAAACAATACAGCAGTTACAACTGTTACGAAGTTAGAAGTAAGGATCTCAATTATTAATGATTTATTTATAGTACGGTAGGGCTGCAGGTGTGCCAGTGGTGCCACACAAATCTACGGGAAGGCTTAGTCCGTATCTAGAAGAGCTTATAACGGAAGCAGATTTTCCACTGGAAAAGCGGCAGGTTATCCTGTTGAACTCACCTGTATGCCTGCCTTTTACAGACTAGGTCCAACCCCTTTGAATTGAGTGGCTGATTTTTGTTCTGTTTTTCCTCTGTTTTGTTCCTTGTTAATTTCACCAAAAGGAGTGGTATGAAACTGGCATCAAAAGACAAGAAGAGAGAAAATGACATTAATTGAGTTAGAAAAGTACAGAGAGACTGATTTATGGCATCCAAAAAAAGTGTTGAATGATACTTGTCAAATTTTTAGCTTTTTTTTTTTCCTCTTAAACTGAAAATCAGAAGCTGAAGTAGGGTTCACAACGATGTCAAACATTTTCCAGCTAATGGATGTCAGCAGGGAGATTTCTTAATGATAGAATATTGGCTAATGCTATAGCAGATTCAGCTGTGAGCTCCCTTGTTTAATTACGAGCTAACTTGTGTAACTAAACAAGGTTGGGCCTGGTCACTGCTTGGATGGGAGACCTGCAAGGAAAGCTCAGGGTGTTGCAGGGCGTGGTGACGCTTGTGGCTGTTGCGGAAAAGGTGATAAGAAGGGGCAGGTAGTTCAATTTAGCTGTCACTGTTCCCTCTAACAAACTCAGCTAATGCCTCTGCTGTGGAAGAGAGGCACAGTCTGACTCTGACAAACTACATGTGTTTGGTCGGGAAGGAGAATACTAATGCTTCCCTGCAATGTTCCCGCTAATATTTTCCATCCATGTGTGGAATGAATTTTGTTATGTGCACCATATCGAGGTAATGTGCAGATGTGTGCCACCAGTAGAAACAAAAAAACCTAGATATAATATATATTTAAAAAAAGTTACCATAGGGACAATTATTCCAGCCAGGACAGGTTAGGCATTTTAGAACTTACCACTCAAAGAATTAAATTTAAGCGTAAGAGAAATAAAAATTATGAAATGCATATACCAGTCAAAACAACTAAAATAGCACACTTTGAAAGAAGTAACAAGAACAATAATAATACAAGTATGTGTTGGGAGGTGTGTGTGTGTGAGAGAGAGAGAGAGAGAGAGAGAGAGACGCGTTTGCCCTTTAAGTACGCTCCCCTTTTTAAGTAGATTGGCACCAACCAGTCTGAAGCCTGCTTGTTCAGACACAGCAGCAGCTGCTCTCTCTGTCCCACTCCCGAGCCCTGTTGTGTTCCCCCCTCCCCTCTCTGTGGAGATGGGGCAAAGAGGAAGAAGGGGGAGGGGGACACCCTGACATCAATATCCCCCCTCCCTCCCTGCTCTGCGCAGCAAGCAGGAGGCTCCTGGGAGCATCTGGCCAGGGGCTCCAAGGGGGAGGGCAGGAGCAGCGCGGCAGTGGGGGGAGGGGCACCTGAAGTGCGCAGCCCATGATAGGCTGCTGGGCGGCCGCGCAGCTGAGGGGGAACTTAGCTTCCCTGCCTGTTCCATCCACTGGAGCCAATGTGGCTTGTCCAGGTGGAGAGTTGCTCTAACCTGAGCCTTAGTGGGAGCACTGCAAGCGTTCTCTTCCATCGCATGTTGTACACCAGGCAGCCTAGGGACCAGCGAGTGCATGGGAGCCTTGGGCCCTCTCCTGTCTGGTGTGTCGGATGCAGAGGCAGAGCAGAGCTGCCACACTATGGCCTGGAGCATTGACTCCCCTCACTGGTGAGCCGCAGCAGGTCTGATGGTGGAGAAGGCAAGGCAGCTACTGCTTCCCTGCCTTCTCCTGGCTCTTCCCCCTCCCTTCATATTCCCACTCACTCACTCACGCCACCTACATCGCTCTGCTCACAGCCTTCCTTCCCTCCAGTAATAGGGCAGCGTTCTGATGCTTAACAGAGTGTGGCTGACATTTCCCATGTCCACTGTCTGTCTTTGACATTCAATTTGGCAATGACAAATTGTAGCAATAACATTAAAGCTTTAAAATGTCCAGCTTGATGGCTTGGCCTGTGTCTGAGAGACTGCACAGCTGAGCTGTGGGGTGAAATTTGAAGGCTGTGTTACACTTACGTTCAGGATAGAGGAACTCAAGGAAATATGAGGAAAACATCGAAGGGTTTCAGAACAGGAACATCTTAAAGTGTTTCCTCTGCAGAACCAACTATTTCTCGTCTTTAAAAAAAATAAAATAAAAAAAATAAAAATTGTATCATGAAGAGTTAAATATCTGGCCAAATTTGGAGGCTAAGTGAAATTTTTAAACGATAAAACAGAAGGATTTTACTGAGGTCACTAACAATGCGTCCAGGGTTAGTAATACTATAAGCCAAGCTATTTCATTCAGAGGTAGCCCACCTACACTCTGGAGCATTTTTCAGGGTTGTTTGTATTTTGAAGGATCTTGTGGTTCTCTTTTTTAAGTGGTTTCAGAGGAAAAGCCGTGTTAGTCTGTATTCGCAAAAAGAAAAGGAGTACTTGTGGCACCTTAGAGACTAACCAATTTATTTGAGCATGAGCTTTCGTGAGCTACAGCTCACTTCATCAGATGTATACCGTGGAAACTGCAGCAGACTTTATATACACACAGAGAATATGAAACAATACCTCCTCCCACCCCACTGTCCTGCTGGTAATAGCTTATCTAAAGTGATCAACAGGTGGGCCATTTCCAGCACAAATCCAGGTTTTCTCACCCTCCACCCCCCCACACAAATTCACTCTCCTGCTGGTGCTAGCCCATCCAAAGTGACAACTCTTTACATAATCAAGTCGGGCTATTTCCTGCATAGATCCAGGTTTTCTCACATCCCCCCCACCCCCATACACACACAAACTCACTCTCCTGCTGGTAATAGCTCATCTAAACTGACCACTCTCCAAGTTTAAATCCAAGTTAAACCAGAATATCTGGGGGGGGAGGTAGGAAAAAACAAGAGGAAACAGGCTACCTTGCATAATGACTTAGCCACTCCCAGTCTCTATT